GCTCTGGTTCAATTAATCGATTTGTATACATCTTCAAAATTATCAATCAATGCCACGTTTACTGAATAAATAAAAAAAAAGACTGGTTTTTGGTAAATATTCATCTAATTTTGTAAGAAAATCAAACTACAAGAAACGGGCTATTGAGTCAAATTTTTGGATACACACACATACTACGCCTTCAAATCGTAAAACACATTCCGCCCATACCCCTTGACGAAGATTAAGAATTAAATAACATATATTAAAAAAAACAATGCATAAACTTGAAATAAACGGAAGATATAGCAACTACATTATTCAGGCACTCGAAACGCCGTAATTGCCTTCAAAATCCCAAGAAATGCATCTTCTCCATGTAGACTACACCACAAACATTCGCATAAGTGCAAATTTTAATGCTGTCGAACAGATCCGAGATATTTCTTCTTTGTCGAACAAAATAGTCTTTCGGGTGCTTACGTATTACACCAAAACACTCTCTCTCAACTGCGTTCTCTTACATAGAAACTAAATCCCAAATTTCATTCATTTTTCCCAATAAAATAAGAGTAAGATAATGTTACAAATTATATAAACTATGTTATTATTTTCGAACGAGTGAAACCAAGAAATACTGTGTTTTAACACATGCGTGGGAACAGTACAGTTTATATTAAAAAAAAGTTATTCTCGAAGATGCGCGAATAAGATTGTTAAGTAGGAATATGCAAAAGAAAAAAATTTTGCCTAGGATGCACATCGTGGCATTTGGCGACATTTTTGGATTCGATGAATGTTGTCGGCGGTTTAATACTTAAATATCAAATTAATTAAACCAGCTTTAGGGGAGGGGATTTCTTAAAGCTATAAGACTTCCTCTCATCGCTCAGCAATATAAAAATATCATTTATTCTCTGAGGAATTTTAGAGGGGATTTAACACAGCTCAACACATGGTCACTCCAAAGGTCTGCGAACATGGTTCAATACATATGTTATGGCCAAAGCTCGAAGTTCTGCCGCTTCTCAGATTGGCTGGCCAATTCACGTTTTGGCGAAAGTCCGAAGTACTTGCAATTAGTATTGTATATTCCACTTTCACTGGCCATTTCTTGAAGTAGCTGGGAATTCTTGGCCAAAGCTCTATGTGACAATGGTAGACGCCAACTAGGCTATCTTTCACAAGAGCGGTGTTTTCTAAAAGAAACGTTTTAAGGTATCCGAATACTTTCGGAACCGTGATTTTGCAAAAGCGCATATATATAAATGGATAATATTTATATTTAGTGTCACTTAGATTAGAAAATGTATATAAAATTGTTTTAAGAATAGCATTTCAATAAAAAATTATTTAAGTACACTATTTTGACAAAAAATGAACCTAGAATGACCCATTTTCCAAATCTTCTCCTTTTGTGAAAAATGCTTCTATTATAATAATATTTTGCCTGTATATAGCTCAGACATCTCTACAGAGGCTTAACTAGAATTTTTGAAATATATTGCTTAGAAGTGGGTTTATCCATAT